CCTTCCTAAACTCGCCGTCCCCCCTCCTTCCCTCCTTTTTTTGGTAATTTGGCCGTTCGTGTTTTGGACGCCCGTCCGAGTTCTATATCTTCTCGACTTTCGCCTTTGCCATTGCCATTGTCCGTACCCTCCCCCTCTCCCTTACCCTTACCCTTATCCCCCCCTTTTTCTCTCACCGCCCCCAAGTACTTCCTCCTCGTCTCCAGCGCCTCCTTCAACACCCCCTCTGCCTCTCCTGCCTTGGACTGGGAAACCAATGACACGCCCAGCCCGTGAGCCGCCGCCGCCGCCGCCAAAGCCGCCTCACGCGCCACCGCCGACGATGATGACGACGGCCCGGCGGCCGCCGCCGCAAGCGCAGCCAGGGCTTCGTGGGCCTTACGATAGTGTGGCTCCGCCCCCGCTACGTCTTGTTGCGCCGCCAGGCAATCCGCCAAAGCGACTCTGGCGGTGGCGGTGGCGGCGGCGGCCTCCCCGTCCGTCTTGGATCTCAGATCCAGGGCTTGTCGTAGCAGCGGCTCGGCGGCGGGGTGGCGCCCCTGGAGTACCATGCAGCGAGCGTACTCGGAGAGCGCGGCGGCGGCCTGTGAAGACGGGAGGGGGGGGGAGGAGTGGGAAGATGGGACGGAGGGGATGGGAAGGTGGGGCGGATGATGATGGAGAGAACAGGGTGGTTGTATAAAGCAATGTGCCGCTCCACGTCGTCCCCCCTCCCCCACAGCAAAAACACACACACCAACAGTACACACACAGTCACACAGCCACATACAATATCACGAACCAAAACACACACACAGACACACGCAGCCCCCCCAACCATAGATACATACCGGCACACACACACACACTCTCTCTCTCTCTCACTCACCTCCTTGCTCTCCATGCCCATCCCGTGCTGCGCCATGGCCAGGGCCTGGCGGCACAGCGGCTCTGCAGCCGCGTACCGCTGTGTGGCCATGGCTGCTGCTGCCAGCTGCCGGGCGATGGAGGCCGCCTCGGGGTGAGCCTGAGTACCCAACACGCGGACCTGGAGGCGTGGCGTCAGGCCGAGTGAGGGGGGGGGTCGAGAGGGGGGAGAGGGGGGAGAGGAGGAGCTGAGTTACATGATGCGAAAAACACCCCTCGCCAATTCCACCGAAACCCATACACCTACTTACACACACACGCCATTCACATACACACGCACATTCTTAGGCGCGTGGGGTGTTGACACACACAGCCACACAAACACACACAACCACAACCACACAACCACAACCATACACACACGCACCCACACCACTCCCTACCTTGGCATTGAGCGCCTTCTCCAGCACTGCCTGCGCCTCCCCCGGCTTGCCCACTTCCATCAGACAGCCGCCCAGGCCTGAGCAG